GGGGGGAAATGGGGGGGAAAGGGGGAAAAGGGGGGGAAATGGGGAGAAAAGGGCGGAAAGAGGGGAAAATGGGGGAAAAGGGGTGGAAAAAAGGGGCAAAAGGGGTGGAAAATGGGGGGAACAAAAGGGGGAAAATGGGGGGAAAAAAGGGGGAAAATGTGGGGAAATGGGGGGGAAAAGGAGCGGAAAATGGGGGGAAAATGGGGAAAAAAGGGGGGGAAGGGGGGGTTCACCCGGCTCCTCCCGCAGGGAGAGGATGAGGAAGGGGCAGGAGGTGAAGGAGGGCCCAGAGCAGCGTGGGTGGTTCCCTTTTGGTGGGATTCATTCTGGGATTCTGGGATGGAATTGTGTCCCCGGTTTTGGGAGGAATTCAGGAAAACGGGCAGCAGCTCTGCCGCCCCAAAAATGAGGAAAAACTCCCAAATCCCCTCACTCTGTGACTGGAAGATCCCCAACCTTTGGCTGATCCATCCACGCCAGAATCCCTGAGAAAAGGGATTTTCCAAGGGTGTTTTTTTTTGTTTTTTTCCCTGAGCATCCCGAATTGGGGTGGGTTTGGGATGCCGACCCAGCGAACCCGGCGTTCCTGTCCCAGCTGCTGGATCGGGACATCCCGGAGCTGCCCGGGGTGGATCCCGCCCTCTGGAATCGCTCCTCGTTTCCACAGCTCCGGGAATGCTCCTCATTTTCCACGGTTCTGGGCTAAACCCTCCACATTTGCATTTAAATGGAGCTTCCGGCGGCTGGAAACGCTCGGGTTTTTTTTCCAGGCGAGAAATCCTGGCGGGATGAAGCCCCTGGAGCGGCTCCGATCCATGAGGAACCCATGGGAGAGGCTCAGCAGAGCACGGGGAAACTGAGGCAGGGAGAATTCCTGAAGAAACGGCGCTTCCTCTAAAAAAAAAAACAAACCAAAAAACACCAAAATATTTTCGGGGTGGAAGCGGAGCTGCTGATCCTCCCAGCCCGTCCCCATCCCATCGCTCCCAATCCAAACCACGGAATTCCGGGATTTTTGGGTGGGAAGGAGCTCTGGCGGCTTCGTTCCTCTCCTCCGAGGCTGGAAAAGCAGCGAGGTTCGCAACGGAGCGGGGAAGGGCTGGAATCCACTTAATAATAATTAATCATTTTCCCCGTTTTCCCCGTTTCTCACCATTTTTACCTTTTCCCCCCTTTTTCCCTATTTTACTCCCATTTCTCCCAGTTTTTTCCCATTTCTCGCTATTTTACCGCCGTTTTCGTGCGTTTTTCCCTTTTTTAACCCAGTTTCCCCCTATTTTAACCCCATTTCCCCCGTTTCCCCCTATTTTACTCCTGTTTTTCTCCATTTTAACCCTGTTTCCCCCGTTTATCCCTATTTTAACCCTGTTTCCCCCTATTTTAACCCCATTTCCCCCCATTTTTCACTATTTAAATGCCATTTTCCCCTATTTTAACCCCATTTACCCCCTTTTTCACTATTTAAATGCCATTTTCCTCTATTTTAACCCCGTTTCCCCACATTTTTCACGCTTGGCATCGTCCCATCCTCGGGATCCTTTCCCCTCCGGGAGATCCCACCGCCGGATGCTCCACAACGAGGAAAACCAGCCTGGAAATCCAGGATGGAGGCGAAAAAAACGCAGCTGGATTTTTCCAGGAGGCGTCGAGCCGCGGGATCGAGGCCATCCCGGGATGGGGGACCCTGGGAATGGCCAGATCCAGCCCGTTTCCATGGGGACAGCGGGGCCCGGTGCCCGCTCAAGTGTGAGCGCTGACATTTGGGGTCGGGAGCCGCCTGTCACTTGTCATTCCTCAGCTCCCCGACTCCGGAATCCCACCGGATAAAGCCAGTGATCCACGACTTTCGGGCTCCTCGGGAGGCCTGGGGATGCCGGCGGGTCCTCGACCCGCGGAGACGAGGCCTGGAGGGTCTCGGGGAGGTGGGAATGCTGCACTTGGGATTTTCCAGGGAAAGTTTGGTCCTTGAATGCTCAAATCCTCCTGCTCCCCCCTTTCCAAGAGCTGGCAAAGCCCCCAAGATGGAGCTGGGAACCCCGAGATGGAATTTGGAACCCCGAGATGGAATTTGGAACCCTGAGATGGAGTTGGGAACCCCGAGATGGAACTGGGAATTCCAAGATGGAACTGGGAACCTCGAGACAAAACTGGGAACCCCGAGATGGAGCTGGGAACCCTGAGATGGAATTTGGAACCCTGAGATGGAACTGGGAATTCCAAGATGGAGCTGGGCACCTTGAGATGGAGCTGGGAACCCCAAGATGGAGTTGGGAACCCCGAGATGGAGTTGGGAACCCCGAGATGGAACTGGGAATTCCAAGATGGAACTGGGAACCTCGAGACAAAACTGGGAACCCTGAGATGGAATTTGGAACCCTGAGATGGAACTGGGAATTCCAAGATGGAGCTGGGAATCCCGAGATGGAGCTGGGAACCCCAAGATGGAATTTGGAACCCCGAGATGGAGTTGGGAACCCCGAGATGGAATTTGGAACCCTGAGATGTAACTGGGAATTCCAAGATGAAGCTGGGAATCCCGAGATGGAGCTGGGAAAGCC